CCTAAAAATTTCAAAATCATTCTTAGTGTACTTAGCAAAAATTCAGCTCTGTAAGTTGAATATTTATATGCTGCTTTGTTCCAGTTTTGTCTCCACTTACACTCTGCTATTTTTTTTCACTTGCCACTTCTAAACAAAGGAAACAGATTTTGTTGGTCAGTGTCAGAACAAATAGATGTAAAGTACAAACAATAAAGAGAATAAAAGATATTGGAAGCTGTTATCAGCCTAGGAGAAGATTCTCCTTAACAAAATAACTTCCTAAATTTCCGTGAGATGAACAATCATCCTGACTTATGCCATGCATGACTTGGTGATTACTTTTATTGATTACTCAGATAATCATAAAGAATAATATTTTGCATGAACTGATTTTGCAGATGTGGATCATTTTCAAATTGCCTAAAAAGTATCTTTTTTTCTTTGTTACTAGACTTCTTTGGGAGAGGAACCAGCTCCTTTTCTGCTCTGGCTGGAACTGGGAGAACGCACCTGCTTGTGTGACTCAGAAGAAAACAAGAAGGTAACTAACTCAGCTGTGCATGGGACCATCAGTTTCAATGTGTTTCACTGCTCAAAAAAGAGGTTGGCTGGTACTTCCCGGCGTCTCCCAAGGGGATCTACCCACCAAAATGTGCTCATTGCTAAAACAACAGCACTACGAGGTGTCAGCTGCCCTGTGAGGGCTGGGGCTGAGCAGGCATCTCCCACAGCCACAAAGGCCACGGAAGAAAGGTAGCAGCAACTGTCTCCAGTTTGCAGACACGTTTTTTCATCCCTGTAGGGTTTGTGCCATTGTTGGATATGGTGGTTGATATGTGTTTATTTCTGACACTAATTAACAAAATCCGTCGTCCTTGTTTAGGAATGGCAAGTGACAAAATATGCAGAGTGGAGACAGGTACAAAGCTGTAATGAAGCAGGTTGAAAAATTCAGTTTACAGGGCTGAATTAGTTTTTAATTCACTTGGAATAGCTTTGCCAGCCACGTATGTAATCTGCAGAGCTTTGTGAGTACAGCAGCATCCGTCGCTATCGGCAGGAAGATGCACACAGAGTTATACAGTGAGGGATACACCCATCACCTCCACTGCCTTAAAAGAAATTACAATTAAGGCTGAAATGAGGGGTTGTTTGGTTTTTTGTGGGTTTTTTTTTTTTTTTTTGGAGGGGGGAATTTGTTTATTTGGTTTTGTTTGTTTGTTTTGTTTTCCTCAGAATTAATGTACAAACCCTTGGAAGAAGGACAGCGGCGCATTGGCCGCTGGGGGGAGATGTTCCCCCGGGCACCCCGGGCCGGGGCGGGCACGGCTGCGAGCGCCGGGCGAGCTGCGGGCTCCGTGTCTGGGTCAGGCACTGGGATTAAAAGTCTCTCATTTGAGAGAAGACGTCTCGGGGGGTGTTCCGAAGCAGGAATACTTCAAAATGTGTCTTGCACCACAGCAGAGCGAGCTGTTTGAAACGATGGGAAATGTCCCCAGACGTCTTTTTGTAATGAATTGCTCGTGAAAGCTTTTAACGCTTTCAGTCACGCGTGGAGATTAATGAGGCAACAGCTTCGGGGGAAGGAAAGGAGAATTTTGAAAGATAGTGTGGAAAGGTGCCACTCTATTACCATTACATTTCCTGGTGTTAAAAGCTGCAATCCTTGAGGATATCTGTAAGGCAGCAATGGTAAGATGAATACTCTCATTACACCGAGATAATGAAGTGGTGCTGAACCCTTTAAGATTGCCAGGAAAAGAAGTATTAGCAGTACAATAAGCAAAGGTCTCTTGTAAAGACACCTTTTATTTCTCTTCGTAGATTTAAACGGTGATAGAAAGTATTCATCAAGCATGATGTGTTTGTTTGGACAGGATTTCAGGGGGCCCAGAATTATATTAAGCTACAACACTCTCCAAACAGCTCCAATGAGCTGCTTGTGAAGTTACTGTTTAGTGGAAGTAAACTTACTCTTCTTGCACTCTGCTTACAAATTAAAGAACTGAATGTATGCTGAGATTTGGTCTTCCAGATGGGAAAACAGCAGCAAGCAGTCAAATATTGGAACAAGTAGCCTTGGGAAACCAGATACAATACAAATACACAGTATTTTCATGTTCATTTCCATAACCCAAGTGTTATGGAAAACCAATTTTGTGATATGCAGTGCAGTCCAAGTTTGTAAACATGGTGCTCTAAATATCCTACAGAAAGGGATACTTTTCACCCTATAATCAAGTAATGTCCCTTTCTGTTGGCTCAAGCACAAAGTGGTCAGTTTGAGAATCACAAAAAGTGAGAGCAGGGCATTTCTGCTGCACATATATGTCTGATAGAGAAATCCCTTTTCCAGCCTGTTATGACTGGATAGGCATAGGAAATATGAGGTACTCTGCATTTATGTGATGAGCAATGCCTGAAATTTTTGCTGTAGAGTTCAATAAATGCAGTTTATTGTTTCAGAAGGCAGAAGTGATTCCTGAAGTTCCTTTGAAAAGATCAATCAGAATAAAATGCTGAGCAGACTAATAAAGGACTTCTCAAGATGTCCCACTACATGATTAATTTCTTATGGTTTTGAGTTAAAACTGTAGATCAGTGCATGAAACATGGCCCACGATAGGAGTTCCCAGATATCAGTGAACCTGGTCTATGAACTGAGCTGAGATCTTTCTGTTTAATTTCTCTGTTCAAGTGTGGACAAGAAAACAAAATCCTGTTTATTTCAGACCTGTCCTTGGTGTTTCCACAGGTTTTGCCATATTTCACAAGGGATGGAAACTTAGAACAAAAGCACAAGGGCAGGTTAAACTTCTTCTGAATTTAAACCTTCCTCTATGCAGTCTCTTGTAGCATAGAGAAAATCTATACCGAGGCAATCTTCCACTTTTTTCTTTCATGATCACATGAACTGGTAGAGAATGTCCTAAACTTTGTTCCTAACTCCCAGTTTGACAAGTTGTCCAGAGTCAGAATAACCCTGGCCTAATACTTCTTCCTGGAGTCTCCTGCTGAGTGTAAAATATGGCTTTCTTGTGGTTTGAATAAGGCTGTTAATGTGCCATGGGATGTCACGGTCCACAGAAATGGAATACAGTGTTCTGCTTGCAGAGAAACAGAAAAAAGCTAACCAAACTGGTTTCTTCCTCCTGAGTACATAGTGACTGACTGAAAATCCAGTCACTGAGACTAAAACTATCAGCCTTGATCACAAAAAAAAAGAAGTACTTGACAGACGGATTTAGTCTTCCCTCAACACGAACATCTATTTGCCACTAAAAGTTTGGTGAATACAGTGTGGTCTCATCTCCCAGTGCATCATTAACAGACTGTGGGGTAAGGCAGATGTTATTTCTTTGAATTAATCCCTCCAAGAGGGAATGGTCAGAGCTCTCGTGGAAATCATGCTGCTTTATAGGTTGTATGTGGCTGGGGGAAAAAGAAAAGTTTGTCTGATCATATAGAAAAACAACTCTTAAAAGCAGGGCTTGGTCCCTCCCCATTGCAATGCTTAAAGGAGCTGAAGTGCTGATTCCCTGGTCCTCACACCTCTGCCTACAGGCGCAAACTGCTCTGACCAGGCTGGACAGTGATTTCTGTGCAAAAGCCAATGAATATAGAAGCACTTCAGGAACAGCAAACAAGGAGTGCAGCACCAAACACCTCCAGTGTTGCTGAGTATTCTTACAGGTTTCTTGCTGCCTTTTTCTCCTTTCTTCTTCTTGATGTACAAGAGCAAGCCAAGGTGTGAGATGCTATGTTCCTTCTATCCAGCCCTTAGGAGGACTCACCTGTGGAAATGGCCACTAGCTGATTATGAGATTTTGGAAGCAAAATAAATCAGCATTGTTTTGGGTCAAATTTTGCCCCAGTGGACTGGAAGCCTCAGAAAGTGCATGGTGAAGGTCATGGCTGCAGGCATTGTGCCTAAGTGCTGGAGCATGTAGAGAAGTTGGTGAGACAGCTTATAGATGCCTTCTGGAAATCTTTGCTCTTTCTCACTCCTCTCCCAAGGAGGACCCTCGCGTGGTCCTGATTCTTATGATAATATTATTTTTCATTACTTTTCTACTTTCAAGCCAGCACTGAGCTGTATTTTCTTCTAAGCTTTACAGCCCACTTTTTTACCATGTTGGACTCAACCAAGGTTTGTCTCCATTTTAATAGATGCATTTTCCACAGGAAATTAATGTATTGTTTCCCCAAAGCTATTTCAGTCAGTAAACTTCACTGCAGTCTGCCCAGTTGCACGATATTTTGGCCAGCCAAATGAATCTAGTGCCCCCAACAGTCCTGTTAGTAGTGTTAGCCAAGGGAATTGGGTCAGGGTCAGATTTCCTACTTGGATCCTCCAAATCTTGCAGTGCCCCGCAAAAGATCTAGTGGCAGAATATACCTGTGGTTTTTTCCCAAGGAAACCTGTGTGTGGAGAGAGTATGATGTTTTCCTAATTGTTGTGTTAGTTCTCTGACCACATGTGTGCCATGGTACCTATACATACCGGTATATATGGTATATGTGGTAGGTACCAGGATATACGGTATATACCAGGATATATGGTATATATGGACTGTATGTGTATCATGGCACCTATAGACACCAGTATGTATGGTATTTATGGATTGTATATGTATATAGATACTAGCATACTCTGTCTTTGACTGTGGATTTGTATATTTTTTTAAGCCTTTTCAGTCAATATTCTTGGGATTTTTTAAATTAGCATGTAATAATTTGATTTCTTTGTTTTCTCAGGAGGTATCAATTAAATGGCAGTGGGGGTGCAGCTTTGCTTTTAAAGTGGCAAACCTTTGCAAACAACCATGATCCCTTCTCTGAGCCATTCTCTGTCCAGATGACAAGTCGCTGGCGGCTGTCAGGTCTGAGTAGGAAATCTCCACAGCAGCGCTGAGAATGTTTATTGTAGGGAGAGAACTTTTGCCCTGTGAAGTCACCTCCTACTAGTCACCAGTAGGTTTCTGATATTCTATCACAGGAAATTCCTGGTGGACCACAAAAGCAATCCCCTGAGTCCAGCTGCTGGCGGGGAGCAGTGGTGCACCACACCGCCAGGCTGAGCCTCAGCCTTCAGTGTGGGGCAGAGCACCTGTGCCCTGCAAAATGCAAACTCTGTGCTCCTCAAACAATGTTAAAATGAACTATACAGGGAGGCAAAGGTCAAGTGAACCATTATTGTGCTGCATTTTATGCAAACAAAAAAAATGTATTAGAGGATGTGCTTTGTATTGTAACAAGGTACTGTAAGATTATATTTAGGCTTCATGTCTTTGAAGCCCTTGGTAACACAACTGTATAATCACAGCTCTTGATGTTAATGAGGAAGTTATATTATAAGGCACTCTGTTTAACTGGGAACAGTGTAGGAAGAATTAATAACCTTTAGGAAAGCATATAAAACCAGCCCTCAAGACCTGCAATGCTAACTATCACAGGTGAATATATACACATTTTTGCAAAGGAGAAAAAAGAGAAACAGCAATTGACAATCACTTTTCTCACCTTTGAATGCAAAGGCCTTGCTTGTCACGTGCCGGTCCTTTTACTTGCACAGCTTGGAGGGCACAGGTCTCATCAACACTCCATTTTCTTCTGCTCATTTGCTGAGGTTTCAAACATTCAATCGCACTGGCAAGCAGGACACGATGAACCTTTATCTGCGTGAGACAGTGCACAACAGGGAAGCAGCCTTGGGAAGGATGAGCACCATGTATGTGGCTGGGTGCTGTAGGGCCATGTGTCCTTCAACTAGAAGGCATCGAAGTCCTCATTTCTATTAAAGTTAGGGATGCTGTGAAAACAAAATACTGACAAAAAAAGATGACACCCTTCCAGAGAGCTGCTATTAGGCTCTTACCAATGCCTGATTTCATTTGTCTGTAACTTCAGGATGTGTAAGCCTTCTGAAAAGAGTTGTCTCTGGGACTTGAAGGATTTTGATGCCACACTTCTTGTTTGCTTTACTCCTGAAGTGGTCCCCTGATCAATGACTTTTGCATCACCACACCACCACTGAACAACCTTATCAGGGCAATCTATGCCAGTGTGTGCAGGGGTGAGCAGCAAGGAGCCAGCACTCTAGGCATCAGCTTCTTTAACCAGACCAGTGCAGTGGAACAAAACTAGGCTTCAAGAGGTTGTGTGGTTTGGCATTTAGGCTGTGATATATTTTTTTGAGTTAGTGAGTATGGCTGTCTCCTCCGTTTTCTGCAAAGAACATTTTTGGGAGGGGAAAACTATTTGTGGCTGATTGTGAGCACTGTGGTAATCTGCAGCAGCTGCACCAGATCCTTGTAATCCCAGAGCATCTGGCTTCTAGACCTAGGAGGAAGGCATTATAAAGATGTTCTCCAAAGATGCCTGTGTGACTTGAAGCACATGCACCATTTTTAAAAAGCGACTTACTGAAAAGTGATGGACTGGGTAGGGTCTGTAGAGAAGTCCGATGGCATTTTTGAAAACTGTACCCCTTATTTAAAAGAAAGGAAAACGTGAGGCAATTGCAGCTGATTCAGCATCCGGCAGTCTCAGCCAAGTCATATTTTACCTCTTCCCTTCCCTCCCCACACAAAACTTCCAGGAAAACCTGCAAAGAAAAGGCATATGTGGGTAGGAGGAGACCTGCTTTTAATTTCTGTACCTCCTATTCAACACAATGCCACACAATGCACAGGATGCGAATATCCCAAGGCACCTTATACAATGCAAGTAACAAAAGCACACACACATGCACCAGAAAAGGGGGAGCAGCAGGCATGACATGGTCGTAAACCAAAATGCAGGTAAAGGTATCTGTAAAATACTTATGTAAAGCCTTTGACTTTGGAAAAAAGTCATCTTTAGAAAGGAGGAGGGGTGGGAGGCTGAAGAAATGTTCAGGTGATCCCAAGAATTGATTTCCATTTCAGAGCAGGATTTATCTGGTTTTCCCTATCATGTTGAAAGTAGTAGTCAGATATTCGTTATCAACAGTGCAATGCCTCCTCAGTGAAACACCCACTGACGCTTCTGTGATACCATTTATAGAGCAAACTGGAACCAGCACTGAGTCATATAATGGTTGTAATGATAGCAAACAGCAAGTGTTGTGGTTGAAAACATATCATGGCTGTTCCTTGTTTCCCCTTCTTTTGGCTGTGGAGAGAAGAGCATGTGTAGGGGCTGCTCACTGCCACAGACCCACCACCGTCTGGTTAAAAGAGATCATTCAAGGGACAGAGCCAAAACCGGTACTCTGATGAAGTGGTTCAAGGTGTTTGGAGAAACACCCAGAATGTACAAAAAACTCCTATGTAGCCTGGAGATGTTTGCGGTAAGAATGTATACTATGTTTTTGAACAGGAATAAAAGCAAAACACTTCAAATAAAAAGTGATAGACAAGATCTTTACATACTTTCTTTATTAAATGCACCATTTTTTAATGTAAAGTGGTTTGTACAGATAGGAAACACTAGATGATTTTTAGTCACAACAATGTTAACTAGAGCCTCGAAGTCAAATGTGAACATACAGAGGGGCAAGGAGAAACTGCAAGAAATTTAAGTGGCATGTAGCCATGAATTACTTCTCCCGTGAGGTCACTAAAGTAACTTACTATGCATTGCTTTGGTGTTTAAGAAAAAATTAAGCTGACACTTTTTTATTATATTTGGATATTGATAGGCAGTTGCTAGCAGTATAGCAAGATGGTAGTTGGCAAATAATATTGTTTGCAATATCTTAGCTGCCCAATTCTGAATCAAAAAAAGAAAATGAGCAACACAAAAATTCTCCCTTAATAGAGGTTTTGTTACCACATCAAATCCATGCTTCACATAATGTTACTGGTGAATTCACTAGGAAGGAGGAGGAAAAACAGCATTACACAGTGAGACAAGGCAGAGATTTTGTGTAATGACTCTTGAAATTGTGACTGGAAGAACTAGATAGCCTAGGCCAATCCACAGTCATGGCATGGCACCTATACATTCTGAGGGATGTAAAGCTGCAACTGCTGTACTTTTCGAAGCCACATCAATGTTTTCTGTAAACCAGCTTACGATATAGCATTGTATACCACTACCCCCTACACTGCACTCTGGCCTTTGATTTTGTTTTCCTAAAGAAGGGAAAAAAGAAAACAAAGGAATAAAGACTAGGTTGTCTTGGTTGTGTGTTGCAGTAATTTCTACAGTACAAACTTATTCAGGATTTCTGAAATGTATGCCAAAAAATTATTTTGTACTAGATAAGTAAGTGTTACTTAAAAAAATAGTTTGTCTTGTGTGTGTGTGTGTGCACACTGTCTCCAAAGTTTTGTATTTTGATGAGAGATGGGATAAATAAAGAACCCTTCCTTCAGCCCAGCTCCCCAGTGAGCTCCTCATCAACCACTTGTGTCCCCTTCCCACACAGCTCTGCAGAACCTGGCTTTGTCTGGCATCTCGTAATCCTGACCAGCTCAGGAAAAGGAGTCACTTGTTGCCTGGGCATGGGATTGAGCGGCGAAAGTGACCACAAATGAATCAGTAGATTAGTTCCAGTAAGTGATTTCATTTTTCTTGTGTTTAAAAAAATTTACTTGGCTAAAAGCCAGTGATTTGCCTAGAAAGACGCTGAACACAAATGATGTCTGCACTGTGAAAATTAGCCTGTATCATGTACCAATACCCTTTTACATGTTCTAGTATCTATAAGTGTGCACTTATAAATCTATATTTTTATAGTAAAATAGCTCCCAAAGCTTATTCCATGGATACTCTGCATATAGTTTCTTGTAGAAGATAGAGCTCTTCTCGGTGCATAAAAGCTGTTGATATATTTCCAGTCATCCAGAATCCAAATTCCCGTGTGGATGAGTGATTAGATGCAGAGTAAATTTTTGGAGGGCCTTGGCTCTCCTCTTGCATTGGATAAATTGAGTGAAAAATTATGTTTGATTACCACTAAACTTTTTAAAATTATTCCTGTTCTGCTCTGTTGAAACCACGACCTTGTGGGAGGACTGGAGTTTTTGAATTTTGTGTGTGTAAAGTCAGAAAGATTGAATCACTATGAGACATGAGCCCATGAATTTAAGAACTATTTCAAGAGTATGCCCTTATCAACAGGTCTGGCTGCTCCATAGAGGGGCAGTTCTGTAGAGCAGCCAGAATCTCTCACTCATGGTCTACAATACCACTAAAGAAAAGAAAAACTTACTTTGTTAAGCAATTAATTCTGTTGTTTTCCTTAGGTCTACTTTTGAATTGCAAGATAAACTTGCTCTGCACAGAGAACAAGCTGTGTAGGATCTGCTATCCTGTCATTCCAAATTTCCTCCATCAGATTGAAGGGCCAAGAAAAAAGAGCAAGTTATAAAAAGCTGAATAAAACATATAAAACCCTCATAATGAAAAGATGACATTTTAATTAATCTTGGAATGGTAAAGGATGTTCTATTGGGGCATTCTGCATCGGAAGGAGCAAGCTTTGTGTGAGCAAAGGTAAAAGGAGAGGCTTGAGAAGCTTGCTGAGGTCTTTAGAGTGTAATAAAGCATAACCTAATCACAGGTGACTACTTCACACCACAAACCATGTTTGACACCGAAGTATTTCTCTAGCACATGCAGAGCTCTGATGCTGTCCTTGATAGGGTACAGTCTCATAACCCAGATGGACATTAGTCACTGATATTGACAACCTCAGCGTGGCAAGGCAGTGGGAATTTTGCAATTAAGATTTCTCTTTCATTTTGGTTTGCTTCAGAACCACAAACGCAAATATCTCTGTTTTTGTGGGTTGTTAATACACAGAACCTGAACCAAAGATCAGAGCCATCTCCTTCCCCTACTTTTGTTGTCTGCATTGGGTTCCACCAGAGCCTCACCTAACAGACATGACAGTGATAACAGTGAAATTTGCTTTCAACCATAAGTATGTCTACAGAACAGAAACACCACTTTGGCAGTTTATGGCCCATATTCAGTTTTGACTCATGCTTCTATTTCCAACTGATAAAAAAAAAACACCAAAACAACGACAAATCCATCTGTTTCTACCCTACTGCTGCAGCACAAACATTTTAGACAAGATGACATTCCAAAGATGCTGTAAAGAGTTATGGCTTTATGGTAAAGCACCTGACTTATGCTTAGGAACAACAGACAACACCACAGACTTTAGTGCTTATGCTGCTTGCTACTAGGAGAAATGAGCAGTTGACCATATTGCTGACTCCTGCATGTTCCAGGAGTAAAATTTATTTGAATAACTATGCTGTGAATTTGAATCCTCTTCCCCATTCTTGAATAATTAACTTTGAAAAGGTGGGATAGGAGCACTGAAGTATGTCACTAAATTTAAGTGTCACTTAGTATGTCACTAAACTGCAGATGGTGAGCATGGGATACTCTGTTTTCAGTACAGGTTTTGGCCAGGAAATTTCATATCTAATGGACATAGTCATATTTATATAATTAGAAAAAAAATGACTGTGTCTATCTATGAGTGTTTGAGCAAGAATTGTATGTTATTGTCTCAGTGCAGCAGGAATGTCAGCTATGAGGAGAGGAATTCTTTACATCCCACCCATGGGAGCAAGAGGGAATCTCTGGCACATCCCTGTGCACAGTCCAATGGCGAGACAGCTTCCAGCTGCTGGACACGGCACAACTTAAAAGTGAACAACAAAGTAGGGGGGAGCATGGGTGTGTTTTGCTTTGACTGTGCTGAAGTGCACAAAGGACACATTTTCCTCCTGAGTTTTTTCCAGTCTCTGCTTGTGTTTCTTTTGTTTATTTGTTTTTCAACGTCAGGAATTTGGGGTTTGCTTGTCCCTGGAAGGCTCTGTGACTAAGCTGAACTAATAATAATACTGGAGTGAAAGCTGAGAAATCAGATGGAAAGGATTTAGTGGTAGATACGGTAGCATTAGATTAATTGTTGCACTCGACCTTCAGGGCCTTTTCCAACCTAAATGATTGTATGATTTCTGCAATTAGGGCAGTGTCAGCATTCCTCACAAGGCACAGCATATAATCCAGCCATCTCTGACATTGCTAACATCACACTGACAATTGGAATACTAAATTTCTTGCCCATATAACTGTAGGATGCCGGGGTGGCCAGTTCTGGATATTGACAGCATTAAGTACCCTATACTGGATCTATAAGGCATTTTTTACTCATGCATCCTGATGCTAGACAAGGAAGTTAAGCTTTTTGTGTAACTTTATAGGGATCTACTTTCACCTTCAAAATTCGTATACTCAGGTGTATTTGATTTTTCCCTCTCTGCTGCTTGTCCTACACAAGAAATGCTGGATTACATTTTGGGCAGCTACAGAGACCACTACTTGCAGAGTAGTTCTTCTGCATTGAGTCTGCCACCACAATGCTTGAACTTTCTATGAGGCACATCACTGCTTTGTGAGGTTTAGACACAATCTCTCATTTCCTCCGTATTTATCCAGCCCCAGAAAAAGGATGGTCCCAAGCATGATTTCCTGCTACGGGTCCTCACCAGAGAGATAGAAGCAGGGAGTGTTGGCACATGTAGTGCCCCCACTAACACCTACTGTGCTGAGCACAGGGCCACACAAATGGGCCCATCCCAAGGACCGTGGGAGAAGTTGTCTGAAAGTAGTGCACTCATACCCCATAACAGCTACCCCCCAGCCAAGAAGGGCCACAACTGGAGTGTGCAGCATACATCCAGACACACGTTCTTCCTGTTGGCTCTTTGTGGAGATGCCAGTGGGTATGTCTGTTCCCTGGGACCCAGGCTTCCCATGAGAAGGAAGCGTGAATATGTGTGGTCTGATGAGCAGCAGCCACCATCTCCAGGTTGCCAGGGGGAAGAAAGCCTAGACAGGTGACACTGGATAGGAAACTCTTCCAGCATTTTCCTTTTTGCAGCTGTGGGCTGGTGAGGGCCATCAGGTGAGTAGTCATGGGCTTCTCCTGTAGGTCTGTGCGTTGCTTCTGCTGGGAGAATTTTAGAAGGTTAGCTGGATAAAATGCGTGTGCCAGGGCAGCAGGAGCAAGCAATCCTGTAAGTGCTGGACACCTTCATGCAAAGAACAGATTCCTTGGACAGACCCTGAGGCAGCTGGTACTGGTGTGTTACAGCCTGGGGTAAGCACCAGAGTCTGTAGCACTGAGCAGGGCAGCAGAGTGTTGAGATAGGGACATGGATTTGAATCATATGTGGGTTTTGGAGCCAGGCTCAGTACCTGTGCAAGTGGGGATGTCTTCTTTCTATTCCTTCTTCACTGCTGTTTCATCCCTTGAATTAAGGTGCCCCTTCCTATGGCACTAGATGATCTTTAAGGTCCCTTCCAACCCAAATCATTGTATGAGTCTGTGATTTCAAAATCCTTTTATTTAGCCTCTGTTTGAGCTTTCTATGAGATTTTTCCAGAGTTTTAGCCATGACATTTTTCAGAAAGATCCCTGCTCTTTCTGAAGCTACTTGTTATTCTTATCTAGCTGGTAGTCTCATCTACCTGCAATGAGCTGATTTGGGATCTTGATTGCTCCATGCATTTTCCTTATCCTGATTTTTCTTTTGCTAATTTAATATCTCATGTAATGTGAAGTTCTGAATACCAAAGGTATCTCATTAATTGATTTTTTTTTCTTTCCTGTACCTTGTTTTGACCTTAGATCTGGTAACCGTGGGTCACTACCTCTAATGAATGAACTGGCAGTCCAGAGTATTGGCTGCCAGATTCAGCTAAAAAAGTTAGGGCTAGAGTGATGAGGAAGACACACTTCCTGATGTCATCTTGTTTTTCCGTGCTCAAACTTATCATTAGGTGTATCAAACCCATTATTTCTTCCAGATACAGCATCATGAAATCAAATATGTATATTATGGGAGTACTAATTTAATATAAAATATTTATTAGCAACATCCAGAAAGAAGTTATTCAATGGATGGGTATCTGTTCTGCATTGTGGGGAAAGAACCATGTCACTGAATGAGAATGCCCTTAATCTATTGGAAACCAAAATGTATCACTCTGCCATATCCCTTTAAATTCAGTTTAGTGGTTTTTGTCTTTATTTAGTTTGCAGCCATATTACCTCATCCCGGGCTGGCAAGGTTGGGCCACCTGGGAACTCGAGGGGGCTCTGGTGATTCAATGCAGTAGTTGGCACACTGCCCTCTGAGTGTCCATGGAGAAGTTCCTTCACCACCGCACCATGGGCACCGTCTGCTGAAGGAGGAGGCATCTGCTGAAGGATGCGATATAAAACCAATCCTTGGAAACTCCAGCATATTTTCTCCTGGAGACAATGTTCTACCTAAAAAATACTTTTATGAATATTTCTCTTAAACTGCTGAAATATAGACCAGTACACTCCTCAATAGCTTCAGTAGCTTCAGTGGATTCCCTGTTCAAGGGATTCACAAATGCTTGAGAGTCCCATGGATGCCTTTACTTGCAATGCATTTGAGAGTTTAGCAGTATTCCAATAAGTATTGTTTAAGTTTTGAGAATACAGAGGGTAAAAAGCTTTATTTTCCTCTATAATGAAAAGTGATCAAGCTAGGTTTAACTAATATACTAATAAACCCCAGCCAAAATTTCTCCCATTTAATCAAGACAATATCCAAGAACTCCAGTTTTAAAATGTGACTCTTAACTTGGCTGCTGTAAACAGATGTCATTAATAGATAAAGAAGCTTCTTTTTGTCTGTGTTCAGCAGTGAGTTCATGCTAAAAATGTGAATGGCCACAACATATCTCAAAGTGACTGGCACGACTTACTCCCCAGTTAGTTTTTGCAAATACTGTCATTTTGGGGAAAAATTTTTTTGCTAGCAAAGACTTTGGTTTCTTGACACACTCTGCCAAGGGGAGAATACTATCTCTGGTCCAGTGTCAGCCGCTTGGAGCAACCCTGTGTCCTCCATCCCCTGTGGGGTGGCTGGCATAGGGCACAGTGGTGGCAGGGAAGAAGCAGGCAGGGTATCGCAGGCAGCCCAGAGGAGACACATCCCCTACAGACACCTAAATCTTTTTCTTCTTCTAGAAGTACTGCTCTCAGGAGTTGGGGAGACCAGAAGGACAGGAGAAGTCAGCTGGGGGAATGGCTGAAGTTGTTTGGCCTCCCTGGCTTGGCTCCCCCTCCACTGGTGACTCTATATACATGAGCCTGGAAAAGCTTTTGCACAGTGAGAGGCACAGAACCACAGAGGGAACAGTTACGGCTACAGAGGCAGCCTGCGAAGGAGGGAGCAGTACTCTTTGCATGAGCCAACGGAGAAAAGTAGGAAGGTCCCATCCCCTCCATAACATGCGCATTTTTCAGGATGTTTCCGAAGTCCACACATCCAAGAAGCGACGCATTATAGCTCAAAAGCTAGAACTGAGATAAAAAATTAGA